CACTTGGTAGCCCAGGCTGGCCTCGAACTCACAGAGATCCACCTGGCTCTGCCTCCCGAGTGCTGGGATTAAAGGCGTGCGCCACCACCGCCCGGCCACTCTTAGTTTTCTATTGCAAGAACTGAGGTCTCTTTTTGTTTGATAAAAAGATAAATTCAGAGACAAGAATTAAAGTTAAATATGTTTTGATGGAGGCACATTAGTCTGTATTTTATGCTACATACCAGACTTGAATTATGTTAATAAAGCCATACATTAAATATTCTAACACTTACAAGCTAATACCTAATATAAGCAGTATAAGTAACTAGCACCTACCATGTACTTCATCTTAGTGTTTGCTATTCTCAGTTTAGATGTAGAAACAAAATACAGTTTTATATCATTGGAGACCATTTTGAATCCTTCTCCAACTCATCACTGTCCCGTCCCACTGTAGACCCCCATTGTGAACTTGACGTTGGATGTTGTCTATATACTTTGATATGCTTTTACTCAGTTTTGTTTAGAATTTTATGTATTTTACACATGTAAGTGGAATATCATGCAATATGTATATTTGTCCAGCTTGTCTTTTTGTTGTTTGCTTTTTGAGATTTAGACAAGCTAATGTAATAGCTCTAAATCACCCAGTTTGACTGCTGTATAGTTTTCTTTTCTAAATTTAAACCATTACAGGGATTCCATGTATGAAACATTGCAGGCATGTGTCTAGCACATACAAAATTGTTGACATTTTTGTGTAGCTGTTTCCTCTGAATGAGGAAGGAGTGGGTTTCGAAGCTCAGGAAGCTCAGGAGATGCTGGGGCTCACAAGGATCCTCCTACAGTCTTAGGGACGCGGCAGTTGCTGAGGAGGAGAAACTGCCTTTGGAGCAGCTGCCTGCAAGCTGGGCAGGGAGTTCCAGAGATGCTCCTGAGAGCTGTTTCCTGTGCTGCTGCTGCCTGGAAGTCACCCAGGCTGGTAAGTAGCCCTGGTACTTGGTTCATCCAGCTAGATGTGTGTGAAATCGCCTCTTTGGTCTATTCTGTTCCCTATTGACATATTCACATCTCCAGGAGTATCACACAGCAGACATGGGAAGTGATTATAGGTTCAGTGAAATACATTGATGGAGCCTGGTGTAGTTAGTGCTGCATGGCTACAATCCCAGCATGCCTCCTCATCATGGGAGGGCCAGGAATTCAAGGCCCTGTCTCAAAAACCAAACTGAACAAAATAAAGAACAGTAATGACAATCTTCACAGAACTTAAAACAAAAGACCCTTAACGTTTTATGGAACCACCATAAAATCCTTTATAGTCAAAGCAATCTTTTAGCAAAGCAGGAAGGAGCATTGTATTCCTTGACTTTAAAATTAGCTATTAAGTTGTACTTGTCAAACCAGCATGAATTTGCATAAAAACAGACAGACCATAATGAAAGAGAGTGCTTAAAAGTAAACCCTGCATCTACACCCTGCTCATTCTGACAAAGGTGCCAGGACATGTTTGGAAAAATGACAGGTTTTTGTTGTTGTTGTTGTTGTTGTTGTTTTGAGGCAGGGTTTCTCTGTGTAGTCCTGGCTGTCTTGGAACTTGCTCTGTAGACCAGGCCGGCCTTGAACTCAGAGATCTGCCTGACTCTGCCTCCTCAGTGCTGGGATTAAAGGTGTGTGCTACCACCCCATCAATAGATGGGATATTGGATACCCTCCTCTTGCAGAGGAATGAGATTAGAGCATTTTATACCAGCTATATCTCAAAATGGAATAAAGACTTAAAGGGGTCAGACCTAGAGTTGTCAGACTACTAGAACAGGGGAATGCTTAAGGATGATAAAACAAACAAAAATATATATTTTTTTAAAAAAATACCATGCCCTAAAAGCACAGGAAAATAA